GCATTCTCTTTGCCATGAGCCAATATCTCCAGGCAAAGCCAGCCCAACGTAAGTAGAATCCGCAATCAAATCATCATTGCTGAGAAATCTGAGCATTAAAGGACCGAAACAGTATTTTATTTGAAAAATAGTGTCAAAGAAGATAATTATACTTGTTTCCTAAACAAATCAACCCCAACTCCGTATTTCTTAATAACTATTGAAAAGCTAAAAATATTGAATTCTTAGTCAAAAAAAAGAAATACTAAGTAAAGCCATTTGCTTATCTAAAACCATAGATCGAATTATGTAGGAAACCCAAGCACTATAGTTCTCACTAAGTAAATCCGCATGCATATCCAAAGCAAGAACTCAACCAATAAGAATACCCCCCAATTGCTGCAGAAGGAGAATTCGAAAATTAAAAAGAGTTATTATCTTTTTTATTTATTTTTAAAGAATAAGAAATGCGCTAGGGTAAGTTAAGAGGGATGATTTATTTTCGTGAGTGCGTTTCAGTGTGGCTGTGAGTTGTCACTTAAGAGTGCCTATCTTTTGGTTTAAAAAATAACTTATCTTTTAATATACGTAGAAATTTTTTTTATTATATTTTCAAAAAGCTAAGACAACTTGAGATATAGTGAGATAAATAGAGATAGAGATTTATGTGGGACTGAGAGAGAAAGTGAGTACAGATAGTTTATTTTTCGTGAGTTATTTTATTAATTTATTTATTTTATTTTAAATGTATTTCAAGGGGAAGATGTCTCTTATTGTAAAGCAGATGTTAAAATTGAATAAAGTTGATCTTGTAAAAAGATCTTTTTAAGATGACTTTCTTTGCATACTCTCTAAAAGAGGGTATATTCTCTCACTCTTTATTATTATTTTTATTTAATTATTAAATCCCTCCATTCTGCCTGCATATCAATCGCACAAATACCGACAATGCTGAATTAACATAACACAACTCTAAAGCTCCAGAGAAATTTTAGCATGGAACTGATAAACAATAAATTCTCAATCGGATGATTAATCGACTTGCCTGTCTCTAACGAGTAATCGACCACTAACTGAACTTCTCTCTTCCTTAGTGGGGTAGTCCGCTGAAGCTAGAAAACTATAAGGCCAGCTCTGAACTTCAGTCATCATCTACAAAAAGAGAAGATGCTTCATTTCATTGATTTCCTTAATCAAAGTATCCATTAAAACTCTTTATAGAGAGAAAACCTGTTCTTTTGCATCTTCCCAGAGTACACTGCAATCTTGCCCTGTTAAAGCTGAATTAAGATATATGAATACAGGTCCAAAAACCTTTTTCCATGGTTCCTCGTTTTGAAACTTGGGCACAAGATTGTCCCCAGCGTAGTGAGCACTCTGAAACATCTGATAAATTTGGCAAAACCAACAAATCAAAGAAATCAAAATAGTTAGTAAAATAGCAGTGAGAGAAAGGTAGAAGATGAAATCATTGAATGAATGTGAACTATGGAGATGGGTTAGGTGAATTGGAGGAAGAGTTGCCATTATAAGGTAAAAAAAGAAAAAAGGCCCCTCCTCAAGATGCATAGGCATCACCGTTTGCACCATTTTTATTTAGATGGCATTGTTTCTAAGATATGTTTTTTTTTTTTTGGATACTATATTAAAAAATATGTACTAAATTTATACTATCCAACTAAATGGATGGGGCCATCTTATTTATGTAATAAGATTATATTGTAATCTCCATGCAGTAATGTTTAAAAAATTAACTCCAATAACATATAAAATTTTAAAAAATTAATTTGTTGAGCTCTCGAATGTCTTAGATATGATTTGCATCATACTCCCCAGGTTGGAAAAGAACTCACCTTCAAGTTTTTACTATTGCATCATCACCATCGTCCATTAGCTAATGATGAAGACACACATCTCCATGCAATTGTTCTTTGTGAGGCACAATTCTTTGTGAGGCACAATGTTGAACACTCGGGATGCTTCTCCGATGGTTTTCCATTTGGTATATATGGTGGGTTAGATGTTGTTGACTAAGAGTTCAAAGTCATATGCCTTCGTTGAAGAAGAAGTATTATTGCTTCCAACCGAAAAAGTTTGATTCTTGATCGAAGAAGATTTCTCCCAAGTCCAATCTCTCTCCATTCTCTTTTTAAGTGGAAATGAATAGCCAGCGAAGATAGAGTGTACGAAATGCAAGCTTAGTAATAATAGAAGTAGAGAAGAGGAAGTAGTTAAGATTGAGCCAATAAATACTAAAAGGAGTGGACTTTTGATATCTTGGGTCCATAATCAAAGAAAATGGGGAGATTGAGGAAGATGTCACATATAGAATTAGCGCTAGGTGAGCGAAGTGGAGATGTACAACTTGAGTTTTATGTATTCACTATGTACCAATGAAATTGTATAAGCCAACTGTGAGGCCAGCTTTGCCTATGAGGCAGAATGTTGGGAGGTCAAGAGACAACATACTCATAGGATGCTGAGGTGGATGAGTTGCAAGACAAGAGGGATAGAATTCGAAATTAATACATTCGAGAGAACTTTGATGTAGCTCCAATAAGCGACGAGATGAGAAAAAATAAGCTTAAGTGGACTGGCCATGTCCAACACAAAAATAGTACAACTCCGGTTAGGAGGTGCGAGTTAATTAAGTAGAAGGCCTGAAAGGGCAAGGAGTAGACCTAAAAAGACATGGTTGGAAGTAGTGAGAAAAAATATAGGGACTTATGGCCACACTGTGGGTATGACCCTTGATAGAATAAAATAGAGCACTAGGATTAGTGTAGCCAACTCGAAATAGTTAGAAAAACGATTTGATGATAATGGTAATCATGATGGTGATGATGATGTTAAATAACCAGCTAGGCTACAGTCACCAAAGATTTACCCTACGGATAAGTAAGCACTAGTCCTAAAATTCAACATACAATCTAGTGCACATTGCTCCCAATAGGTCCATACTATGTGATGGAAGTATTTGGGAATGATACTTGCAATGGATGGCATGATTGCTAACGAATTGTTGCAAGTATGGACGAGCTTGTCGAATGCTGAGCATGGATGTTAAACCTTGGCTTTAGGTCACTTGCCGTCGCTAGTTTTATGGCCAGGCTCAAGAACTTAGAGGATGATTTGATATCATTATCGAGGTCTACTAAATTGCTCACTTTGGATGTGAGGAAGAAATAAGTGATTCATACATCACACAAATCATTGGCAAATTCTAATTGTGAATTCCAACAATAAAGACCCCATCTATATAGGCCATATCACAAGCACTAACATCTTTGGCTTTCATATAACCATAAGCCGTATTGAGCTTATTACAAGTCCCAACAAGATTTAGACATGGATAAGCAAGAAGCTCGTAGACTCTTAATGCTCGAAGCTACAAGCTTCTGGACCAAACTAAGAGCAACTCCTTTTCTGCCATCAAAGGCATAAGCCAACAACAGGAGATCAAATCGATGTGGTTGAAGGTGAAGCCATTGTTGTGGGACTCCGTGAAACTCCTCTTATTAGATAATTCCAATTGATGCCACTTTGGCTAAATAGAATTTAAAAAGAAGACCAGGCATTCCAAAATAAAATATATTAAAATATATGCATCTAGACCCAACTTAATAGTTAGCCCATAGACTTGAGCAACCAAGACTGAATATCTTGAGTTTAACCATGCACACATGCTAATAGCAATAGGAAGAACAAAGCTACTTGAGCTAGAACCATAGCAAATAATAATCAAAAAGATTATTAAGTCACTTCCAAACATACCTCCTTTGAGAAGTCAACTCAAAACAACCTTACAAAAATATTCACTATTTGTAATTCATGGAATCAAACATCAAGTTTGTAGTTTATGGTTTTGGTGTATTCCTCAAGATGTATTCCTACTAAATAGGTTCCCCACAAAAATTGCAAAAGAGCTAACAAAAGCAAAAAATTCAAGATATTCTTAATAATAAAAATGAACACCTAACCCTCAATAATTAATAAAATTTCATTGTAACCCTCATCCAATAATTCCAAAAAATTATCCCAATGAAAGATAAGATGATCAATGATAAAATATAAAAAGCTCTTGATCATCTTTGGATGTGATCTGCATTATCATTTGATTATTGGTTTGCACGTGTTTAGAGAGATTTGAGATGTGAGTTTATAATGCTATGGCTTCACCAAATGTTTTCCGTGTGCATTTTGGATATCTAGTGGACTACCTAGGCGATTAATGTAGTTTTGTCGTCAGAACATCACTGTCGCATTTCCGGTTTTGAAAACATGAATTTCAGGCCTTAAAAGTAGTTTACTTTAAAAACATTATTTGAATTGTCCAACTTTTAGTGTTTACAATCCATTTAATCTACACCATTTTTGGATCTTTGATCTTCATAATTAGAGGACAAAATAGATTTTAGTAACAACATAAAGGTTTCCAGCACTGAAACTATATTTATCTGTACAGTTTGGATTGGAGCTTTACTTCTTGCAACATACATGAACTTATATTAGGACGCGGTTAGCGTGTGAAAGTCCTCATGGTAACTACCCATCACCACCGTCCGACACCAAATTCCACCTGTCTCCAAGTTGGATGGTAGCGAAGGGTGATTGCCATTCGGGCTGCTCGCATATAAATTTTTTCAGTTATATTATATACAATTCTATTATTCAAAATATTGGTTGTATGGGCATGTCGAAAAGTAATGGACTTTTAGCTTTATGTTTTGGGCAAGCTTTTTCTGTTACCCTTAAAACATAAAACTTATATACTTTTCCTGATCCAACCGTTTGTTTTGAATGGAGGGCTAAGATTGCCTCAATTATAATGTCATGTTTCTACACTATTTTATTTTTAATTTTTTTTCTATAAACTATTTTAACACCAAATTTTGGAAGTCCAATCCTCTATTAAACTCGCACTAACAAAAAATATAAAAGAAATATTTTCAATAAAATAAAATGACCAAAATAATCCTGAAATATTCCAAGTGTATTTTGATCATTATATTTTATCGAAAAATTATTTTTAATATTTTTTATAGGTGCGCCCTAATGAGAAGATGACACATACTAAATTTCATATTCATACAATTTTTATAAAAAAAAACTAAAAATAAAATATTTTGAGAAGTCGGATCTAAAATCAAACGGTGAGTGGCTCTCTTGATCAAAATTGAACGGCTGGATGATAAGGTAAGCATAGATCTTCTATGCTGTAGAGAAAGTATAGAAACCTTTTCGATGTACTAGGCACTCTGATACCTACCAAGTGACGACGAATTTGTCAGTATCGATGTAACGCTTATCTAAATAACTAACATGATTTCTTAGCTTGACTATTCACTCTCATCGAGGATGTAAGAGAAACAAATGAAAAGCAAAACACAAATGATGTATAAATACAATAATAATTTCACAAATAAAAGGTGAAGATGTAGAACAAAATATCCTAGCATTGATGATGTATGTAATCTCCATAGAGGCTAAGGAAAACGAACACAAAAATTTCAAGTAATTCACAAATAAAAGCTGAAGATGTAAAACAAAATATCCTAGCATTGATGATGTATGTAATCTCCAAAGAGGCTAAGGAAAAAGAACATAAAAATTTCATTTACTTGTAAATAACACCATATACATGTCATAAAAAATAGAGTAATCACTGTAATGAGAAGTAAAGGGATTAGACTTACAGCTAGAGTGATGGGACCCACATGGGAAGTGAGGTTTTGTTTGAGTGGTCCTCCAGTTCTGAATTCATTAGAAGGAGTAATATTCCAAAAGCCCACCAAAGGATCAGTGCATATCCAACCATGTGGCCCAATGTCCTTGTTGTCACATGAATATTGGTACTTGTCATCAACCTGTAATGCATAATAATAGTGATATTTAAATAGAAGCTTCACCTGGTAGAAGACAAGGCTAGGTATCTAAATTAATTGAATTTTATTTTTGCTAAGTTGCATTAACTTGACTCAAAACAAGTGATATTGCCGTAACAAATGCTTGCGTTGAAGAAAATGAGAATGAGGTTTGTGGTTGAAACCTCAAAGCCCAATGATTGGGAAAATTATACTCATATGCAAGTTTATTAGACAAATAACCAAAAAAAACTTTAATGGACATATTTTCTTAAAATGTTCTAAAATTCAATCCATCTTCTCAAAATTTTTTCTAACTTAAAATGTCAACGTCCATCTTCTCAAAATTTGTAACTTCTTGCAGTACAAAAACTCAGTTTCTAAAAATAACTACTAAATCCATGTTTATATTGTTGAAAAAATCGAGATAACCAATCACCTCTTTTGAGTAAATTGGGATATTTCAAATCCCATAAGTTATGGTGAGCACTCCACCACAATGATTTCAACATTCAAATAACATGCCCAAGATGCAATAACCCGTGCAATATAATTGGGATAAATATAAGAACAATAAAACTAGCAATATGAGAAATCATCAAAGTACAATACAAATGAATGTAGAGAGGGACACACACATATACATGGTTCACCCAAAATGGGCTACGTCCACAGACAAGATGGTAAAGATGTATTTACTATCAAGAAGAAAACTTACAAGATTGGAGTTATGTAGAGTTACCTCATACAAGCGCAAGGAAGCTCAAACAAAAGAGCTTCTTACAACAAAACCACCTACAATCGACTCCTTTATTTGATTCACCGATGCTGCGAATAAATACTGAGAAAATGGTTCAACCAGAACCCAAATGGTAGCACTAAGGTTTTTGTTGCAAAAACCCCAAAATTTCTCCCCCAACCTTCTCTCTGCATTTTCACCTTTTGTCTTTCTTTCTTGCTCACACCTACGCGTTTCTCTATCCCCCAATTTTCATCCGTACATCTCTCTCTCTCTCTCTCTCTCTCTCTCTCTCTATAAAGCCCATTTTAAGAGCCTCCACCTAAAAGGTATATTTTCAGTGACAAAAATACCCTTTAACAAGAGGGAAAATACCATAAGGGCGATGATTTGGCATCATGCCCTAACAATCTCCACCTTGATGCAAAATTACACCCTTGGCTTGCCAATCCATCACTTCATTTATTTTTTGAAACCTAGAGAAGTTAGGCTCCATTCAAACTTCTCTACTTGGATGGTCTTGGTAAGCATATCCGCAAGGTTGTCTTCGGTCTTGATATTGACCAATCGAACTCTATCATCTTCAACAACTTGCCGGATATACTGATATTGAACCAATATGTGCCTTGACTTCTTGTGGTGAACCGGGTTCTTGGCCACATGGATAGTACTCAGATTATCACAAAATAGTTCCATGGGCTTGCACATAATGCCCATCTCACCTATCAACCCTTGAAGCCACACAACTTATTTTGATACCTCCGTTGTTGCCATGTATTTGGCTTCGGTAGTTGACAATGGTACTGTATCTTGGAGCCTTGACGTCCAACTAACCAGTCCATTTGCAAACCAAAAAACAAATACGGTAGTTGACCTACTTCTATCAAGATCACTGGAAAAATTTTGCATTTACAAAACCTTGTATTTGGGTTGAGCCCTTTCTAAATGTGATTGCATAATAGTTGTACCTCTTAAGTTCCGAAGCACTCATTTTGTTGCTTCCCAATGAACATTTTCGAAGTTGGCCATAAATCGACTTAAAACACCAACCGCATGTGTGATATTCGGTCTGGTATATACCATGAAAAACATTAAACTTTCAATCACATTTGCATAAGGAACCTTAGCCATACTTCTTCTTTCTTATTCCATCTTCGAACTTTGCATTGAAGACTATTTGAAGTGAGGCGCTAAGGGTGTCTTCACCGGCTTTACATCTTTCATGTTAAAGTTTTTAAGCACCCTTTCTATGTAACCCTTTTGAGATAGTGACAAAATTCCATTTTGTCTATCCCTTTCAATTTCAATCCCAAAGATTTACCTAACTGGCTCGAGATCCTTCATCTCAAATCTTTTTCTCAATGAAGTCTTGAGCTCATTAATTTTTGCCTTATCTTTGCACATAAAAAACATGTCATCTACATATAAGACTAACATCAAGTATGTACTATCACCAAAAAACTTTAAATAGATGCAATGATCATACTTACTTCTTGTGTACCCAAGGCTTATCATGAACATATCAAATGTTTTATTCCATTGTCTAGATGCTTACTTAAGCTCATATAAAGACTTCTTCAATTTGCACACAAGTCATTCTTTTCCATTCTTTATGAAGCCTTCCGGTTGTTGTATGTACAGTTCCTCTTCAAGTTCTCCAAGCAGAAAAGCCCTCTTCACATCTATTTTTTCAATCTCTAAATCATGCATAACAACAAAATCAAGTACCAAGCGAATTGAAACCAACTTGACAACCGACGCAAAAATTTCATCAAAGTCAATCCATTCTTTTTGCAAAAAACCTTTTGCCACCAATCTTGCTTTACATCTTTCAAGCTTGCCATGAAGCCCCTTCTTTATCTTAAACACCCATTTACAACCAATGGCCTTTTTGCCTTTTGGTAGTTCCACAAAATCTCAAGTCTTGTTTCTTTGAAGGGCTAATATCTCTTCTTACATAGGTCTTTTCCAACGCTCGATACCATTGTTATCAATGGCTTCACAGAATGATGTTGACTCTTAATTTTCGACTATCAAAGCATGCAAAGAATTTGGATCCACATAATTTTTGTACCACCCGAGTGCATGAGTTTCTCTAGTAGAGCACCTATGTGCCAAAGACACAACTTCAGCATGATAGTCATGTGGTTCTTTATCTTGACTTTCTAGTTCTTCATGTTCTTCACCATGATAAATGTGTATATTCTCATAAGGCATAATTGTACTTGGTGGAAGTATTTCGGGGTTGCCTTGAAATTTTTGGCTCTCTTGTTGTATTTCTTGACCATTGTCATTTATCATCATCCCCTTTGCCAATACCTTGGATTCATCAAAATGCACATCATGGCTAGTGATTATCTTTCGGGCACTTGGATCCCATAACTGGTACCCCTTCATATCCTTGCTATAACCCACAAAGATGCACTTCTTTGACCTTGGATCCAATTGTTCCTTTGGCAACTTGGAATAAGTGTATATGCATCACAACCAAAAATATTTAAATCGGAGAAGTGAATCAGAGTTCCATACCATGCCTCATTAGGAATTTTACTTCCCAATGCGACTGAAGGTGATCGGTTGATAAGATAACAAGCCATTGATATGACTTCCACCTATAATTCTTGTTCTAGGCTAGTATTGCTTAACATGCACCTCGCATGCTCCATCAAAGTGTGATTCATCCTCTCGGTGACACCTTTTTGTTGAGGATTGTAGGCATTTGTAAAATCCTAGTAATTCCCTCGGCCATGCAAAAAATTTCAAACTCTTTTGATGCAAACTCTCCACCATTATCGGTCCAAAGAACTTTGGTGTGATGCCTCGTAGATTTTTCAACTTCGGCTTTAAAATATTTGAATACACAAAACACATCACTTTTGGACTTGAGAGTTTTGATCCATACTTTTCTTGAGAAGTCATCAACAAATGAAACAAAATATAATGCACCTCCATAAGTTGTAGTTGGTGAAGGGCCCCATATATTCGACGAATGTAATCGAGTTTGCACTTGCTTGTATGTTTCCTGGTATGGAAAGGTTGTCTATGTTATTTCCCATAGACACAATGCTCATAGAATTCGGATCCATGAATTTTAAGTGTAGGAATAAAATTCCTTTTCATCAAAACCTCCATACCCTTATCACTCATATGTCCCAATCTTATATGCCATAGGCAAAATGGAACTTCCTCACCTTCGACCATGGAAGTCACTTTATCATTTATTATTGTGCTTCCCAATAACTTGTACAAGCTCCCAACTAGGACTCCTTTCATCACAATTAGGGTCTCGTTTGATACTTTGATTACTCCACCTTGAACGAAGAACTTAGAACCTTCCGAATCTCGAGAAAAGAGGGAAATCAAGCTCTTTTTTAGTTCAGTCACATGCTTAACATTCCTAATTGCCCGAATAGTCCCATCAAACATCCTTAAGCGAACCGAACACATTCCAACCACCTTGCTAGTGGAATTATTACCCAAGGATACCGATCCTCCTTCACATGACTTATATGAGTCAAACCATGATCTATGTGGGCACATGTGATGGGTGATTCTACTATCAAGTATCCAATCTTGATAGAATATTGAATTATATGCCACCATCAATAATTCATCTTCAATGAACCTGGATGTAAATTCTTCAACTTGATTTGCTTCATTCTTGGATTCACTTGGTTTTCCACCTCTTGCATTAAGAGCTTGGGAAGAATGCACGCCATTTCTTTTAAAACAATTCTTCCTTATATGACCGGGCTTCCCACAATGCCAACACACATTCTTGTTAATGGGCCCTCTAGATTTTGATCGAAATCTTGAATTTCTTCTTGAATGATTCATCGATGAATCACCTCGTTCATTCGATCGACCTCTTGCCACAAGAGCTTCCGTCTTCGATTCTACCGAGCTTCCCAAAGATGCTTTCTTTTGAAGTTCATTAGCAAGTAGGGCACTACACACCGATCCCAAATCAAGAGAATCCTCTTTACAGTAACAACTCAATGTAGTAACAGGTTATTATAGAATTTCGGCAATCAACAAAGTAAGATGACTGCCTTATCTTCTTCGTCCACTCTCACACCAATACTCTCAAGTTGACAAATGATGTTATTAAACTCATTCAAGTGTTTTGACACATTTGCACCTTTTTTCATTCTCAACGAATACAATTTTCTTTTTAAGAAAATTCAGTTTGTGAGAGATTTTGCTTGATACAAACTTTCTAGTTTTTCCCACAAACCTTTTGTCATCTTTTCACCAACAATATTAAACAAAACTTCATTCGCTAAACACAAGCGAATAGTGGCCCGTTCCTTCATATCGAGTTCATCCCAATCATCATCTGTCATATTTACCTGTTTCTTATCTTTTCCAAGTAATGATTTGTGTTGCCCTTGATGTACCAATAAATCTTGCATTTTTAATTTCCAAATTTCAAATTTATCTTTCCCATTAAACATCTCCACCTCAAACTTGTGAGATGCCATTTTCCCAAAAATATTATACTAATTCCTTGAGCTCTGATACCACTTGTTGAAAAACTCGGGATAACCTAATCACCTCTTTTGAGCAAATCGGGGTATCTGCGATCCCACAAGATGTGGTCAACACTCCACCACAATGATTTCAACACTCAAATAACATGCCCAAGATGCAATAACAAGTGCAATATAATCGGAAAAACTATAAAAACAATAAAATAAACAATATGGAAAATCATCAAAACATAACACAAATGAAAGTAGAGAGGGACAATCACATATACGTGGTTCACCCAAAATGGGCTACGTCTACAGACAAGACGGTAAATGTATATTCACTATCAAGAGGAAAACTTACAATATTGGAGTTATGTAGAGGTACCTCGTACAAGCTCAAGGAAAGCTCAAACAAAAGAACTTTCTACAACAAAACCAATTACAATTGACTTCTTTTTTTGATTCACCGATGCCGCGAAGAAATGCCGATAAAATGGTTCAACTCGAACTCAAATGGTGGCGCTAGGTTTTTGTAGCCCCAAAATTTTTCCTCAACCTTCTTTCTACGTTTTCACCCTTTTTCTTTCTTTTCTTCTCACGCATGCCCGTTTCTCTACCCCCTTATGTGCATCCGCACGTCTCTCTCTATAAAGCCCCTTTTAAGAGCCTCTACCTAAAAGGAGTATTTTCAATAACGAAAATGCCCTTTAACAAGATGGAGAATACCATAGGGGTGGTGATTTGGCATCACAGCCCAACACATATTATATACATGAACATATTTTTTATTTGTTTGAGTCATGAATTCCATTGCAGATGGAACTTGGAAGTCATGAAAGGTAGTACATATGGCACCTGTGTTCATACAAGTGTTTCACTACTTGTTATTTATTTATTGCTCAGTGACTTCAAAGTGACTGGCTCAATTACTATAGAATAGTATAAACATGCACACGCACACGTGTAACACATCTCACCTATGGAACATCATTGCAAATCTGTACAACTACATTTGTTTATAACCTATCAGAGGTGAAAGTTGATAAAGTAATGTATGACCTTGCTCAATTTCATGAATCTTTTGGCATAATTTTTAAACAAATGCTATTTCATCCGAACCATCCAAACTAGTGCAAAGTTTTGTTTGTTATAACATGACTTTTACGATTTTGTATCTTGCTTCCTGTGGCCAAACATATTTTCCAATGCAATTTTATGACTAATTTAAGCTTTACAAGTCACAGATTTAAAGTAGCTCCTGGTGTACTGACCAGTATACTCCTTCACCTAATGAAATGCCCTAAAATTTGTTTCGAACTTTCAAGGTAGAGGACATATGCGAACTTTCAAGGTAGAGGCCATATGCAACTACTACCTGCGTAATAATTAGGGGTTTTAGAGAAAATTATTAAGGCCTGTATAACTGATATAACCTATTGTTATCATATGTATATCTCTTAATTGTATGGGTATATATATCTTGATAATCTTAGGTGTCCATGATTATGATAAGATTAGTTAGTAATTATCAATAACTGTTGGTGTCTATCCAAAATTGTTACTAGCCGTATATTTATACGAGTCTTGTATATTCTTTATTAATTAATAAAGAGAGCGTTCTCTGCAGTATTTTGAGTTTCTAATATGATATAAGAGCTATAGGTTCCTCAACCTCAAAACTGAGCTCGCACCTCAGATATGAGCACGTACCTTAGATATGAGGTTGCCGGATCTGACCCCTAATCTCGGCATTACATTCAAAGGAAAAAGATTCCCCCTTTGCACAAAAACTTTAGCTCTCCTCTTCGTCCATGGTTGAATTAAATCAACACTCTCACTAAATCCTCTTCGTCTATGGTTGAATCAATCAACAGTCTTAGTTTTGTGAGATAAACTCGAATCAATCAACACTCTCAATTTAGTGATAGAAACTCATAGACCAAGGAACCACTGCCAAAGGCCTCTGAGTCGTGTTTCGACTCTCTGATGAGTCGTGTTTCAACTCTTTACAAAACAACATTTGCCTCTATTTTGGCCTATGTTCTAGACTGTGAGTTGCTGAATCTATCTCAGACTGCGAGTGGCTGAATCTGTCTCGAATGCACATCGAGTTCTGTTGGCTCTTTCAAGTGCCATTTTGTGCTTGTTGTTCAAGCAATCTGAGTATGGAGACCACTGCTTCTATTAGTCACGCCATGCATGTGAAGACTTAAAGATCCAACTCATTCGTTTATGCAACTTATTGTTCAAACTCCAGTTACTTTATGTCAAAGAATCTTGAGTTTGAGGAGAAGTGTTAGAGTATGTATATCTCTTGATTGTATGGGTATATATCTCTTGATAATCTTAGGAGTCCATGATTATGATAAGATTAGTTAGTAATTATCAATAACTGTTGGAGTCTATTCAGAACTGTTACTAACCATATATTTATACAAGTCTTGTATATTATTTATTAATTAATAAAAAAAAGTTATCTGCAATATTCTGAGTTTCTAATACCTACCGATGGATCCACTCCATCTCAATAGCTAGGCATTGATCCTATAATAGCTTAATAAAGCTATTTGACTTGAGCAAATTAGGAAAAAAAATAACAACTGCAATTTGAGGGCCTATTTAGACGTACTAGTTATTCATGAGTACGTCTAGTTCTTAAATTGGTCCATTCATGAATGTGAAAAGCATTGTTTATAGATTTCCAATAAGTTTGCACAACGACTGTTTTGATATTTTTAGATTTTTGTTTTTCAATGTTTTAGTTGTATCGATCCAAGGTACAATTTAATCATAAAAAGTCTTGCTAAACTTCTCGTATCCTAGGACAAATTTATGATTCAAGTAACATACTTAAATACCCAAATGCCACAAACATGATTTTCTAGAAGTGTGGTTTTATGATATTACATTGACACAGTGACATGAAATCATTTTATATATATATATATATATATATATATATATATAGCAAAGACAGGAGAATACTTGCATATGTCCTTGAGCTAATCTCCACATATTAGCTTACGGGTCAAAACCTCCTATTTATGGGGAATTATCTTCTTCCAAATCTTGCACATAAACTCTAATGAATCTAATGAAAATCTCAGAAACAAAATTGAAATAAAAGAACATAGAAAATTAATTGCAATAGAAGGGAAAATTAATGAAAGATCTACCATCCATTTTTGATAAAAAACTTTAAGCACTCAAGATACTGTTTTTAGTTTTTAACTTTTCTACTTGTGTTAACGAGAACACCTATAAAATCCAGAGTCAAAGAATCCCCTGTAGGTGTCGATTTAAAATCATTTTTGCCCTAAAATGGGTGTCCTATATTCATTGCATTTTTATTTTTATGAGTTTTAATTGAGATGAACATATTTCGTCTTCAAATTTTGGGCTCAAACAAATCCTTGTAGATCTAGCTTTTTGGGAGTTTCTGGCCTGATGAGCTACTACATGAACACACAATTTAGTAAAGTTAAATCTTAGCCTGTGAATTCAACTAATACAGTGGCCTCAAACTAACTTAAAACTTAAAGGTATTCATGGAAGGAAATGGACATGCTAAGTAAACGAGATGAACGAAATCACAAATGCATGTGCAAATGTTTCTTGCACAGTTTGACATTGTTCTTCTACATATGTTTGAGGATCTACAATGAGTTTGGGAGATTCCAACCTTGGAATTGGATTATGCTATTCCAGATGCAAGTCATTGAGAAACAGATATTAAATTGTTGAGAAGAAAATGTAGTCTCTTAAATTGTGAAGTAAACTATTCAAATGGTCGTCAAACTAGTTAAAATATTCATGGAATGCAATGGGCATCCTTGGTAAAAAAGATGAATAAAACTACATATGTATTTTTGAGTTTTTCTTATGCAGTCCAAACTTATGCTTATATACGTATCTGAGGATCTACAATAAGTTTCTTGGAATCAAACACTAGAAGTGAATTGCTCTATTACAAATATACATAATCGAAAAACTCATGTTAAATTATTCATAGAGTTAGTTAAGGTGTTTTATAAAAATAATTTCCGAAGAGATTATATGGATTTGACTTCATATTACTTTACCCTACCTCCCCCTTGAGATCTGGGTTAATTGGATCTACAAGAAGGACTGCTTCTGGATATGCTAGTGGTTGGCCCCTAGGAGGCAAACGGTCATCAGGCATTGGCATGATTCTTTGTCTGTTATCTGCAATAGCCATGTACTGGAACCTGTAATAACAACAACAAGCAGGTTTGAAATGCATGGAACCAGATCAACTTAATATCATAGTGTGAGTGTGTTTGTGTAGGGTTTGTACAAAAGACTTCTATTTTGTTGCCCAATGGGTTGGCATTATGGAATTTCCACTTGGTAAGGCAAATATAAAAGGATCAATAGAAGTAGGTAGAAGTAGTTCATTAAAAATAGGGTGCGGTTTTTACAAAGCCTCTAAACAATCAAATTAGAGACTGCTTTCAAATAGTATCGAGAAATATGGTTTCAATACTGGAAATCCTTGTGATAGCCTTAAAATATATTTTCATATTTATTTATAAAGTTTAAAGCTTCAAAAAATACTGTAGATCGACAGATCTATGAACACTTGAAAATCTTGAAAATTGACGGTCTAAAAATCGTTATAAAAAATACTATTTTCAAAAGTTGAAATCCATTTTTTTCTCATGTCTATGCATCTTGATGTCGAGATGATCAACTTCACGATATTTGGGCATCAAAACAACCACTTCTAATGAAAGTTTTGAGGTAGACTCAAATTTGATTGGTTAGAGTGTCGGCACTATATAAACTTTTCCCTTAAAAATATGTGTTGACCAATGCAATTCTTTGCATTATATTCCATGGAAAAGAGAAAAACCTACTTGTCTTTTCTAAGCTTGAATACAATCCGAGTCTGGCTGAGGTAGAAAGCTGGCCACCCCTCCAAATGCTCATAAATTGCGTATGTGTAGAATCCGGAGCAACCCCGAAGCAAAATAAATCTGAACATATAATGGACTCATTGATAATTTATTTACTATATAATATCTATATAACATATTAATAGAAAGAACGAAAGAATATAAAATTTGAAAAGATCATAGCACTAAAAACCTCTTACATATGCTATGATCTAGCGGAATGAGTGAAAATATGGAATAATACTAGGGAACTATGTCAAAGTCAAGTCGAAAATAGTCAAAACGCATAAAAATGGACGCATATAATTGTAAACCATCCATTAAATAATATGATACTATGTCTTAGCTATATTATCCCCATAGATGTTGGACTGATTGATAGTTCTTAGGGATAACATAGAAGAACAATTACATAGTCAGGAGTATGAATGTATCTTAGTATATTTTACAGTCAATCACAAAAAGAAAAAAATGATATGATAAAATTAATAATAATTGTTAAATAAATCACAAAATATTATTTTATTTGGAACTTGTTTCCAGATTCGACTTAAAAGTCCTAGCCACTATAGATATTAGGAGCTTAACAAGAATGTAGACTTACAATACTGTAGTTCATATTTCAAGAATGTCACTTAAATCATTTCTTTACTGAGATTATCATTCCTCTGTTGGGTAGTAATTTTGTTATCTTTAGGATACCTTTGATTCATTTCCTTCTAGCTATTAAAACGTAATATATATGAGTTTAGAAGGTAAATAATGTCAATAATGCATCTAAATTGTCCATAAAGACGAGCTAGGGATCATAATTCTACATCAACTTTTCAATGGAACTTGGTCATATCTTAATATAAATAATAGACTTCAAAAAGTTGCAAGCCAATTTGTATGAAAGAATTAATGTGTTCTTTAATAATGTGAATTTTTTTTCCCCTTAAACATTTTGTTTCTTGTTTTGCTTATATCCTCACTGTCACATATAGTTCAAGAATGGTACAAACTTAAAGCGTGAATGGGTTCACTCACTAGGTTATGTAAGCATGCAAACCTTGGTCATTAGAAGTTGAGAATTGGCGCCATATGATGTTTATAAATTAAACATCGATATGGATAGGTTAGAACTAATAAACAAGAAATAATCAGAGTTAAATAGGGATCATTTACTGTGATCCATGTAGTTCATTGATAGCAAGAAACATGTCACCATGACCATCCATTGTAATGTTACCACAAAAACTAGTTGAAGTCTCATGATTGCTAGTAAAGTACAATACAACATATAAAAGTTTCCATATAGCTCGCTAGCATTAACTTTGTGAGATAAGAACATTGTCTATAATTGTTGAGGCATAAATCGAGACACAATTAGAAAGGTAAAAGTATAATAAAATAAAAAAGCAAAAAAAAAAAAAATTGTGTGGTAGCTAAAATATTTTTTATTGACAAGGTAATAGTTATAATATTAACATCAAAAAATGAGATACCTTTAACTTCTATGGAGCATTAATTTCCACGAGGTGTTTGTGCAATATGTTTTCAAGGTCATTAAAAACAAAGAAAAGAATACTATCTAGATCTACATTAACTTTTTCCGCTAGCTTTTTTTCATCACACCATTTTGGACTAAAATAAGTACCAAAAGCTTAAAAATAGAATCCATACTAAATTTTAGTTGTTCGTTATATGTAATTTAAATATTTGTTAGAGTGTTAAGAGTCTCCCTATTTGGTAGATTTGTGATGCGGGTGTGAGAAAGGATTCTTATATATACATTATTAAGTTTTATAAAATACTTTCTTGGATCTTCTCCTTTTTAAGACTCTTCTATTTAAATAGACAAGGGTGTACATAGAATCCCATAGAAGAAAAGAATTTAAATAAAATAGTTACAACAATTTGACAAAGTCATGAATAGCTTTTTCTCGGATGACTTGACAAAGTCAATATTTAATTGTAATAAAACCGTAAAGTGCTCATCTCATTACCCACCTTCATAATATCTTAAATGTTGGATTTGAGTTGGAATACATAAAATATTTGGTATTAGATAAGATATGTACCTCTTATCTATGCTCAACGGTACAAGAGTACCCTTTAGAGAGGGATCCCATACCCTTGTAAAGGAGACTTCTACTTGCTCATCATTCTCTACTACTACATTGAACTTTGTACCCTTTATCCTGCATTGCAAAAAAGATACAACATATTACATTAAATTTTTTCCTTGTATTTATGAAATAATTGGCTAGGTCATTAAAAAATTGCATATTTAACATGATGAATTCTCACACATCGAATGTTCCATGTCTGGATTCTCCAAGATCACCCCAAACGAGATCCCAATACCTGCAACAACATAGCATAAATTTTAGCAATACTAGACCATAGTATGTGAGATACACAGGCATAATCACTCAAATTGTAAATTTTATTTTTATTTTTATGTTTTTGAATATATTATTTTAAAATTAAAAAATAATTTTAATGGTGAAATTTTTAATTTAGAATAAAATAATATACTTGGAAAGAAAATAATGAATCACGAACCTAAATTATAATGCAAAGAAACCATATTCATTAGATGTCTACTATGTATAACTAACTTTTCCTTCTTCTTTTTTTCCCCTTGAATCCTTTATTTTAAGGCCTACGTACTTTTATATTATTTGAAATAAACCTAAGCATTATTTTATATAACATGCTAACAAATGAGAGCTATGGTTAGCAATGGGCAGGTTCTGGGCCGGGCAGCCCTGGCCCTAGCATGACCCTTGTCCCCACAAGGCCGGCTTGGGCATGTAGGACTAGGACCAGGCTGAAAATAAATAAAGAAAAATACAAGAGAAATAAGAAAATAGGAGAGTTAGACCGGCACTAGCCCTAGCCCACGACCATAGTTTGCGGCCCAAGCCCTAAGTTCTTAGGGCCGAGTGCTGGGATGCTCGGCCCATTGCTAGTACTAATGAGATCATCCATTTATATAATATTTCTCCATTAAATCACCTTAAAAGTGGAATAAAGCATGCTCCAATTTTTCTACAATAGTAATAAATACCTCCTATTTACAATAAATAAATATGAAAATAAATATAATTTTTAAATCCCTTAATTTAAATTGGTTTAATACTAATTATTTTAAATCCTCATTTTAAATTGGCAGATTTTTAGAAAATTTAAATTATCTTGCCGGTTTTCATAACGCATTGTTTACAAAATACATAAACAATTTTTTTGTATCGTTTAAGCAAAAATGTCTACAAACTTAGAAGGTGGTATTTAATCTATTTTCTTAGTTCTACCTATAGTCAAATCATAGTTTAATAGAGGAAACATTGCATTTCCTCCCCAAAACTTCATCTTTTAAAATGTGTACCTTTGGACCTTGTTTTAGTAGGTAGGATATATTACATCAAATGAGAAGACAACCCTATTGTAAGACAGAACAACAGTAGGAGATTAGGGTAAGAGACCTAAAAAGGACATAAGGGTAGACCAGTTTGCCCTAGTAAAGACATAAGGGTAGACCAGTTTGCCCTAGTAAAGACATAAGGGTAGACCATATTAAAGGCATTGCAGCATGAGATAGTTGATTTGGGAGACTTTTAAGCTAAGAAAAATTCAATTTAATGGGAGATTTGCAAATTTAAATTCAATCTTGTAATCGATAGAGACATTTTATAACAGCCTATCTTGCCACACATGCAAAGCATGCGTCATTGGCTAGTATTTCTAGTTTTGAAATCTTATACTTTAAACGACGGGATTGTATATTATCGGACTGTTCACTTTTGGTACATGGTAGTCACAATCACTCTTAACCAATGGATATGAAGTAGGACAAATTGAATTGTGTCACAACATTTAAGAAATTCTAATTTGGTGTTTATACACGGTCAATGACATCCACAATAATCTTATTTTGCATTCAATAGCCAATAATATTTATGACCTCCTTGTACCGAAAGTAAGTGGTCTCATATATATACATTTTCTTCAATTAATTGTGAATGTTCCTGTCTATTTTCAAAACAATGGCTTAGGTTGCTTTTAGACACCATTTGTTAAAAACTTATCATCAAATACTACATCTACTTTGTACAGTCTCATCGTATACAATCCCTAAACTTGTAGCCTAAGTTCTCTCTAGCATTAGGGTCTCTTTCTAACTATTCGACATGTATCCCACCATTGAGTATACTAGTCGATTTAAATGCATTACGCTTAGTAGAGCAATTTAAATACGTATGGGAGAAAGCATAGTTGCTTCTAAATTATGAATAAAGATAATATAATTGTTTTGAGATAATTCGAGAATGAAACTATTAGAGTGGAATATTCAAAATTACTAGGGCTCGGTTCATTTAGATTTTCCTTAATGTTTTAATATACTTTGTAACAGATGATTATACAAAATCATGATTTTTTTATTATGACAGTTTCGACTTTTATGCAGTGATCATATTACTATAAACAAACCAATGCAATCATAATTATGTAATTTGTAATTATATAATAAGCTGTAATATTGCAATTTCTATCTATTATATTGATAGAGTCGATATGTCATTACATATGTTATTACATCATTATAAAAATATTTTATAATAATAACAACGATTTGTTATGAAAAACATTATAATTTAATCTAACAATAATAATTTAATTCGTACTATTAATATATTTATATAATTCAAATTATAAATAGGATTATAACGATTTTATTGATTACATTTTAGAACTAATAGATATATAAGAGTGTATACACACACGTGTTGTATGTCTCACTAATAATTAAAATACATTAATAATGTTTTATTTGTCAAAAAATATATTAATAATGTTTATTAATTATCTTTTCTTTTTCTCTTCCATGTGATTTAGTGATTTATTAATTGGCGAATGTTTTATCCAGTCACATTCTTATCATATTTTAGGAAACAAAAAGACAAAAGAAAAAGTGATATAGAAGATACTTTTATAATATTATATAAAAATGATCTTATGATATTATAAAATTGGTCTTATGATGTTGTAGTATCTATATTACTATTACAATACTGATATTATTGGATAGCTATAATTTTCGTTTTTGATTTTTATCATCGTCATCATCAATGAAATAGTGATCTGTGAAGTATTTACCAAACAACAATGTATTATGAAATATCATCATTATTGATATTAGTATTATTATACTATAACAAGATACTATAGTATAGTAATATTATTAGGATTATTATATTATAACACGTATTGTAATATAATATTATTATAGCATAACAATAACATATAATCACCTGTTATAATATCATTATATTATGAGTATAATATTATATTATTATCGTAATGTATTGATATTATATTATATCAATATTATAAGGGTACGGTTTCTATAAAATTGCAACCTTAAAAAATCCAATTAAGGTGCGCTTTAAATTTTATCATAACATGTAATTCTGTTGTAAAAAAATTCTTAATATTATCTTAAAATCTATTTTCAAACCTAATTAGAAAATTTTAAATTTTGAAAATGGTTAAAATCAAGTAGATCTATAAATATATGAAAATCTTGAAAATGGACGGTGTAGATAATGTGTTGCAAGATGCACTATTTCCGAGATTCAAATATTTTATTTTTTTGTTTCATATTCATAGATCTCGATGTCAAGATGATTGATTAGAGAAATTTTTCAACATTAAAACAATATTTCCGATAGATTTTTGAGGTGCATATGTGATTCTACATTTTAAGGTTGCAAACCTTATATAAACTTTTCCCATATTGTCTACTTTTACTATAGCATTTTATTAAAATCACAATATTATATTAAAATTAATATTGTGATATTATATTCTTATTATAATAATGTAGTACTATATAATTGTAATATTTATCGGTAATAACCAATGCTTTAAAAAATGGATCGGTGACCCGGATCGGGCTCCCAAAAAACCGATCCGGATCGGCGAATCGGCGATCCGGATCGAGAATTGGGTGAATCGGTCAGAATAAAACTTAAACCAAATCGGAAAAAATTATTAAATTCATTATAAATATTTTTTTTTAGGAATTCAATAAGAAATGAGGGTACTCCATTAAGAATTTTCATGTTTTTTAATGAATATGCGAATATTGATATGTTCTTTCTCTGCATGAACCGCCATTCAGCATTTAATTTACATCACACAAAAGGATAAACATAGAATTATCATGGAATAAGTATATCAACATACATGAACTACAATAAAGCATAAAATTAATAACATATGATCTAAAAATAAAATGATAGACGACGTTATTGTTCTTCTTGGTCACGCTGGTGCCATTGATTGTAATTCTTTTAACTAATTCTATTGATTCGATCTAAAACGAATCATCGATATTAGCAAGCGTCTGACT